GTAAAACATTGACACGGACGACGACGGACAATCACTCATATGATAAGCTCCGCTCGACAAAGTCGACAGCGGAGCTAAAAAAAAACAGAGTTAAGCGATCATGTATGTTCTATAAATCTAACCTTGCACACATAATCTTGTATTGACGTGTTTTTTTTGGTCAAAAACGATGGTGCCTTTCAGTTACAAATGTAACTCTTCGCGTTCATGGTATTTGTGAGAGTTTACAGATTTTAAGTAACAATATCGTTTTGCGTTAAACTGGGTGGCCCGAATTTAAATGTCAGTGCATGAACTCATTGAGATCATTGCCCATTGCCACACGTAATTCAAACACGTGGTTATTAGAGTTCAATCAAAATGTACGCGAATAATGCGATCAAAGTGCGCTGTGAGTTTATTATAGAAACATTTAACATTACCGGTACGCATGATATTGTATGGTTAATATTACATATTCACTTTATTTCGAATAAAATAATTCACCGATAAATCACAAGTATTTAAAATATTTTCTCGACTTTCGTTAGACACCTGACTCCGGGACCTGACTATCTTTTTCAATGATTTAAAGGCACCCATATTTATATTTGTTTAATAATTACGAATGCAACGCATTATCAAGTCGGTACTATTGAAATATTCACAGACCCAGTAGCCCGGGTTTGTGTCCCAACAATAATAAAAATAACTTAGTTTGCGTAATTATTATAAAAGCAATACATTGCAAAGTTGAAATATTTAGAGCCCGTGAAATACTGTAAACATATTTGCGTTGTCAGAAAAGCAGCACACTATGTAAACGATGTTGAAATATTCAAAGCCAATACAGAGTTGGATACAAGTTGTGTTATTACAGTACCGCCGGATATAATAAAAATTTTACTAGATCGACGGCGGACCAAGAAAGAAAAAGGTTCCTAAGGTAACGCGCCAGTTCAGTGCGCGACTAGGGGTCAAACTTTGGTCAACACACACTTGAGGTCAGCATCGCTGCGTAGCAAGTTTCGCAAAGTACTTGAAGTTCAATTGCGTCCCAATATGATGTCAACAATCACCCAATTGTCGCAGCGCATGTTGTACCAAGTCCATGATACACCCAGTTTCGACTTTGGCTTGCTTTTCCTTCTTAGTGCATGATCTTGTTCACGTAAAATGCGACCTCTCACCAATGTATTAAAACACTTTGAATTTATACTTATGCGTGATTATATTTGGTCTACACGAAACATTAATCTTTCTAAACATTTTCTGAGACCATGCATGATATATATTCACAAAATAATGCGATCATATTTTATATGTTGATCTCTACGTCTTTCTGGATTGTTTTGTGATTTTATTCCAAGGCTCAGGCAAATAAAATAATGTCAACTATTATGCTTTTGGCTCAGCCAAATTGGTTTAATTTTTCATTAGAACTTTGTGATCCTTTTAAGTTCCCAGTTCATTAATTGTCTTGACAATAAGTGTGAATTGCTGTGCAAGCCTACGGCAGACGTCAGCCGGCGTCATGGAATCTATGTATAAATTTGCATAAAATGCGGTCGAGCAGCCGCCGCCACCACCACCGCGGTAATGACCGCGTTGCACTGCCCGTTTTATTCCAACTGCATCATCAAAGACACGTTTAAAATGTACAATGTATTTCAAAACACGTACAGATCAAAAAGAAAAGCAAAAGATTAAATTACCTGTTCTATAACAAAGAAAGCAAATTCCAGTCTTTGTCTCTGCAACATGGGAACTACGTGCCTCAATAATATTGGTAAATGTTCATATCTATCTCTAAATGGAACAATTATGCCAACCTGCAGTATTAAGTAAAGAATAGAGTTAGTATAAAATAATATTGACAAATTGTGTATAGTCATCTGGCATTCTTTACAGCACTCTTTTTCATGAAATATACGTATATCAGAGAAGACTGTAGAATGTATTCATCTGTGATGTTCAGACACAATCCTTGATGGATTTAGACAATGTGAGTACCTTAGATCAATCCAAAAATCATTTGTTAGTCTGTGTAGTATGAACATACCAATAGATATGTTTTTTATACACTCCACACTAACATTAAAACTCGGGGAGTATGCCTGCAAGACTAAATCCGCTAAAATTAAATCGAATGAATAGTCCCCTTTCTGTAATCCTTGTTGCTGGCAATGTACTATTATAATGGGCAGAGTATATTTGGTTCGATTGCTAAAAAGTGCAACCAAAAATCAGTACGTAGAAACATACTCAGTTTAAAAACAAGTTTTAACCAGTTTCCAAAATAGTTTGTAAACAGCAAAGAGCAATACATGCATGTATCTCTCAATATATTTTATGTTCAGAAACAGAGAACAACAGACAGACGACAATCACCTATATGAACAGCCCTGCTCTGTCATCTATGAGAACAGCGGAGCTAAAAAGGACAACCAGCAATTCACAGAATGTTTTTTTTTTCTTACCTTCCATTTTGGCTTACAATCTTTTGGAACCCAATGGCCACCAGGTAAATAAGTATAACTATCAATATCTAAGCTAAGTCCAAAACCATAGACTGCGTCAGCATAATTATTAAGCACCATTGATGACTGTAATCTTTTATTAGCAAGAGAAACCATTTGATGTACTGCATATCCATTCTCTGATGTCTGAAACATTCTAGATTCAACTTGACTCATTGTTATCTCAGACATATTTACCTCTAATCGACCTTCTGTCAAAAAAAATATACCGGTATATATGTTATCTGGCATAGATTAAAGATTTAGGTTTAACTCTTTTTTAGCTCGTCTCTATTGTCTCAATTTTCATTTAATATTATCTATCTCCCTTTTTTTTTGTTCAAAACAATATCTGTTTACTACCAGTAGTCACTTTTGTTTCAACAATGTCCATTTACTAGAAAAGTACATGTATACTAGTTTTGTTGTTCTCAGCCTGTTTAAAACAACAATCCTTCTCTCAGATGAACCAAGTTGACAATACAATTTTCTCCTCCTTTAAAAATTTGACATTTTTTGAGCAGTAACATCCTGGATTTGAACCACCAATTTCCAGATAGATGAGTTGTGTGGATGCACAGTCACTGAATGAGCTGAGTATGTGATTTGTGGATGTTGCAGCATATAGTTCACTATAATTTGTACATGAATGAAATGAGATATGTAGCACACATATGGTAAGCAACACCCAACCCACAATGGGACTGCAGAAAAAGCACCAACAACTTTTGTTTAAAGTACAGCATTTGTACAGAAGAAAGTTAACTACAGTTACTGTAGCATAAGAAGAAAACTGAGAATCAAACAAGCAGCCTGTCGGCTGAGACAGCTCCGCTGTTAGCAATGCACATTTCAATTAAAGAACTGAAGATATCATTAGAAAATGAACAATATGTATAGTATCAAAGCAAAGGACCTTGTTGTTTTCAACAAAAATTCAAAAATATCACTTTTCACCAAAAATGACAAAAATAATCATCAAAATTAAGTAATTGAAGATATCACCACGAAATTAACAAGGTCCAAATGTAATACCTATATATGTAATTAAAAGCAGTCAGACTTGCGGTTTTTAACAAGAAGTCGAAAATCTCACTTTTTACCAAAAATGACAAAAATATTCACCAAAATTAAAGATATCATT